CGAGGCCTTCTTCAGAGTCGCCACCGTACGCAACCTCCTCAACACTCATCTCATGCTGGCCAGTGACAAACGCATTGCCTTTTGCAGCCTGTGATCCTCGCCCTTGTGCTGGCCTTCGTCCCTCTGCGGCTGCTGATACGCTTGCCCCGGCGCATTTGGCAGCACATCGCCCCGCAGTACACCCACCTGCTCATCGACGGCCACGACCGAGACGACGAGCGGTTCTGGGGACGAATGCCCTCACATGTCGCTCGGCTCTGGGGCTGTCGGCTGATGCACCTGACGTCAGTCACGCTGCGGCAGCCTCTCGGGCGATATACATATAAAAGGGGTTGGGGCATCGGCGCGCTGATATCCATCCTGGACGGCCACTCATCGGCCAGGCAGAGGGAGCGGGAAGCGGGAGCGGAAATGGACGAGGGCTCTCTCACAAGCATCGCATTCGAGTGCTTCCCGGCATCCCATGACGGGTTCAACCACCAGCCTCCTGCCGTCCTCATGGCGAACGTCCCAATCAGGCTTCCCGCGCTGACGTCAATGACTGGCGTCCACGACGGCCTCAAATGGCTGCTGCTCCGCCTGGAAGCGCCGTCCATCGAGATGATACAGGGAGATATGGATGCCAACGTCTGGGCACTTGGCCCCTTTCTCCAACACTCGACGCGTCTGAAGCGCTACTGCGTCCCGTCGACGAGCATCTACAAGATTGTAGTCTTCAACTGCATCCGCGTGGCCGCAGCGGGGCAGCCGGGCCCCCTGTCGCAGCTCCAAGACATCGGCAGGATGGGGCTGCCCCCGAGTGAACAGCTCGCCCCCTTGCAAGTGAGGGGATACACAGACAGACAGACAGATATGTGTCCGCTGTGTCGTCAGAACATTTTGTTTAATCACGGGTGCCGGTCGCTGTCGTCACTCGACCTGGAGCTCCAGGAGAAGGTCAACCGTCAGACCTTCTCCATCCTGTCGGCCGTCACGGCATTCGTCTCGGCTGTGTGCCGATCGCCAGACATCCCCATCACCTGGCGGCTGGAGAAGAAATGGCTCGACCTCTCCCTCCTCCACTTTGTGCCCATCTACCTCTCGCCCCTCGCCAAGAAGGCGCTCATCGAACTGGCGCGCCAGGCCCACCATGTGGAGTGGTCTGTCAGCCAGACGGACATCGACCGTGCGGCCACGAACAGCCTGCCAGAAGGCAACACGAAGGCCCTGATCGACAGCCTCGCCTTCCCCAATGCGCACACGGTGTGGGTCAAGGACGCCCCTGGGTTCGCCCTCAACCCCCAGCAGATGACGCAGACAGCCAGCCGCCCCCCCACTCGGCCATCGCCAAGGGCATCGCGGCGTCGGCCTTTCCGCGGGTGACTGAGCTGTGGGTGGGCACCACTAGCAGCATCGGGTGGCAGATCGGCGGCCAGCTGGCGACCAAGACCCCCTCACTGTCGCGCACGGGTGCGATGGGCACTGTGAGGGGCGGCGAGGGGGACGTGCGCGGCTTCCTGTCGGCGATAGGGAGAGAGAGGGCGCTGCGTGAGGTGCGGGTCAACGTCGATGGGGCGGACAGAGGCGGCATCAAGTGGGGGGAGGAGGCGGATACATTGCCGACGATCAAGTCGCTGCGGATCGTCATCGACGGTGAGTGAACACAAAGACGACACAGACAGCACAGCCCGCCTCCATCCGTCTGGTGTCTGCTGTGTGTCAGCACCTGACGGCGTTGACAGTGGCGACTTTGGACGGGCGTGTGTGGCGTCGCTTGTGAAGCTCCGCGGGCTCCAGCGCATGTGGGTGCTCATCGTGCCCAGGTCGGGCAACAGCACCTTGGCCGCCGCCATGAGGGAGCACCATCCACAGGGGACCTGCCGTGGGTTCCTCATTCAACACAGAGGGGACGCAATAGAGCTCCACAAGGTGAGATTCGGAGGAGAGGAGTGGGGCGGCCAAGGGGTTCATTCGGTGGTTGATGTGTCTTTGGTGTGTGGCAGATGGTGAGTGGCTTAGGAGGGAGGAGAGGCAGCAAGAGGAAGCGCCCGGGCGTCTCGTGAGAGGCCGTGACGGTGTGTATACTCGACGTGCTGACATTCTCCACCAATGGGCGACATCAACGTGTTGTTGATGGGATGGCTGTGGTGCAGTGCTCTCACATGTGGCGGCATGACGTTAGTTCGGTGTGGGTGTGCAATGTTATTACATACAGCTGGCCAATGGCATGCTGTGGGTAGTGTACACATTCACATTGAAACACATCCCGCCAATCCGCCCTCTCACCGCTCCCACCCCTCCTTCCCCCTCCATCCTTATCACTCTGAACACTGGACGAATGACGCAGGAGGGGCGTGTCTCTGTGTCTTCACCGCCGTCAGAATATAAAATGTAGTCAGCGATGGATAAAGACTCAACTCCTCCGTGGATCCTTGTCTCTCTCGGCCGGAATCCCTGGACCCACTGCACAAGCCGACGGAACCAAGCCAATGAGAGACAACAGCCATGCGTGCGCGTCGCTTTCTTGCGATTGTGTGTGTGTGTGTGTGTGTGTGTCTGCTTACTGCGTTCAGGTCTGAGGGGGCCCAGCCGTCAAACTCAACCGCCTTGTAGCACCCCAAGTCGATGAGGCGCACCACGAGCCCATCGCCCACCACCACGTTGTCCAGCTTGTGGTCGCGGTATATCACTGTACCCATCACACACACATACATACACACACACACAGACTCGTGAGAAGGTCAAGTAGTGGATTCTCCCTTGTTTCCTCTCTTCTCTATCTGATGTGGCGGCTCTCCTCACCTCCTAAGCTGTGCAGCGCCGTGTGTGCGTTGACGAGCTGGCTGCTGATCTCCCTGACCTCCTCGCGCGGCAGTCCAGTGTAGGTCAGAGGGTCTAGGCCCTGGGCTATGAAGGCCTCTCTGTGCTCCTGCAGCTTCGTGAAGAGCGTGGGGCCGCCGTACTCCATGATCAAGTAGGCCTTGTCCTCCTGGGGGTAGCTCTTGAAGCCCAACGACGACACCACATTGTCACACTGGTCAATGGCGGGGAGCCTCATGACGGTATGCTCATCCCGGAGCATGTTGGCAAACCCGGGCTTACTCTGAAGGCACGCAAGCACAACACACCCGGCCACGTACCAGAGGAAATGAGCCATGTATGTGTATGTGTGAGACATACACAACGCACCAACTAATGCCCCGCTCTCTGTGCCCATGGATTGCATGCTTACCATCTTGACGACCAGGTCCTCTCCTCGGTCGCGTACGTCGTCGATGTCGATGTTTTCGTCGCTATCGATGTCGTCTGCAGACCCCGCTGCATTGGCACGCGCCTGCCAGGTGTGGCCGTACTCGCCCCCTCCCAGATATCGAATAAGATTGAAGTTGTTGTCAATGAAGTGTGGAGTTTGCGGCGGGTGAGCCATGTCGTGGCCGACCAGCTGACGATTTATCAATCTCGCGTGTCAGCGGCGGCCTCTCCTCCTTGGTCGTCTCCTCGGCTGGCGAACGCCCTGGCGTATCACGGGCGCGTCAGTCTCTCGCTGGCTGCACTGCCGACTTATCTCTGTTTCTTGGCGGCATGGTGCAGGCTGTTGCGAGAAAGGAGGCTCACAGACGTGTTGGTATTGTTTGCACGGCTGTGTGGGCTGGACGGCGCGGGGCAGAGAGCGTTTCTTTGCGGCTGGCGAGGGGCTGAAGAAAGCGAGAGCCCACAGCTTCTTTTGCCGTCTCCCGTCTCAAATTCTCGCCAAAATGGAAATTTACTTCTCGGCGTTGCGGTGATGCAGCTCTTCTCCACATTGTGCGCCTTTCTGACGTGTGTGTTGTCGACAGGCGCCACGCGACATCTAACTGACAAAGGGAGAGAGACACTCCCGGCTTTGCTGTGCGCGAAGGCCAGCCAAAAAGTCTTACTTTTGGTTGAGTGCCAGCCATTCCTCGTGCGTCATGGCGGCATCGCTGCTCTCAAAGGTCTTCAACTCATCCAAAGTGATACTCTGATGGACAAGCTTCATCAGAAGGGCCTCCATCGCAGCTGCTGCTTAGATCAGCAACTCAGGCTGCACAGGGTGAGCAGATGACTGAGGCAGCACCTGTAGAGGAGACCCTCGAGATGCTGGCGAAGCTGCAGAAACAGCCGCATCGTAACTTCGATGTCTGAGCGGCGAATCTCGAACTTGATGGTCGGTGGTTACAGCGACGAACCTCTCTCCTGTGCAGCGGTTTCAAAAAAAAAGGCGACCTGCCGGTCTCGGCATGATGTGAGTGGGTTAGTGGGTAGGATACGATCTGACTGCGCCGTGTGTGTGTCTTCACATGAACTATTCAAGCCATCAGCTGGCCCGCACGGGCCGGGCCGTCATGTCACGGTCTGTTGGTCGGCTGTACACTTACACACACAAGACGTACGTCAGTCACACAAGCACCACACCCCAGCCAGCTATGCACCTATATCTATCCGACACGCAAGTAGGGGAGGGAGAGTGAGCAAATGAATAAAGACATCCACCCACCCACCCACCCACACTCCATCGATGGATGGATGCAGACATCAATCACTCGTTTGACAATCAAATGCCGTCCTGATGGCTGTCTCTCATGTGGCGTCGGAGCTCCCTGACCCATGCTGTCGCCATCCTCACCGAGTCCATATCAGCTTCCACACCCTAACAGACAGACAGACAGACGGACGGACAGACATCCACTGCATGTGTGCATGTGTGTGTCTCCCCCAACCCCCCCTCCCCTCACCCGCACCTACCAGGAAGTCCGCCGACGCGCCATGACCCAACACTGACACACACACACACACAAAGGGAGAGAGAGAGTATACACACGGGTATTTCTCGTGGCTGGCTGGCTGCACCGCCCCCCGCAGCGTGCGTCCTTACACACCTGCGATTGTGCGTGCGAGTACTTGGTCGTCCGTCATGGGCTGATTGACGTCGCCCACCTTCTTGCTGAACCTCTCGATGTCGGGCTTGTCCGCTTGGAAGAGCAAGTCGAGCGCCTCCGGCTCACACGGGAAGAAGGGCAGCTGCACAGGCGCCACCCTGGGGTCGGCAGTGTCATCCTTGCCGTGGCAGCATGCCAGGACCATGTTGATCAGCTCGACCTTGGCCTGTGTGTCCACCCCACAGCCAGCTGTCTTACCCCTCTCTCTCTCTCTCTCTCTGTTCTCTCTGTCTGTCTGTGTGTGTGCGTACGTTGAGTAGCGTCACCATGACGTTGCGCAGCATAACGACCAGCTGGAAGGTCTTGGTATTGAGCGGCTTGAAGGCGCACTCATACACGCCGCTCGCCTTGGTCGTGTCGGCGTGGAGCAGCAGCCGGTGCAGAGGGGTGGGGCAGGGCAGCCGAAGCACCAAGTTCGAGGCGGCCTTGTCTAGCTTGTCCCGCTCTCCCTTGTCCTTGGTCTTCTTGTCCTTGTCTCTGTCCTTGTCGAACTTGTCCCGCTCGATCTTGATGCACAGCTTGGAGGGGCCGAAGATGCGCGTCAGGCCGGCCAGCACCGAGTCCCACTGAGCCTTGGTCAACTCACGGTGATCTAGAGGGAGGGATGAGCATTCACAGAGAGGGAGGGAGGGAGGGAGGGGGATGTCGGTGTGCGTCTGTGTCTGGAGCGCATTGCATTTATTGCCCACACACATACAGAAGGGGTGGCTATTGTCCGCTTTCTCGGCCCTGCACACACACCACATCACACCACAGGACAGGACGCCACAGCTGCTGGGCTGCCTGTCTGTCTGTCTGTCTGTCCCTGAGTGTGTGTGTGTCGGCCAGTTGCTCACATGGCGTGTATGAGTGATCTGGTTGCGTCGGGTGTCATGCCGATGAGCCCCACCCTCTGGGCCTCCTGCGACAGACACCGAGAAACCGCTACGATCCAGCAGAAGTAAAACTGCAGAACTGACACACACACACACACACACGCAGAGAGGGAGGGAGGGAGGGAGGGAGAGAGATCACCTCCAATATGTGTGTGTGAGAGTGTGTGTGTCGGTTTGTCGAGGGACCTTGGACGGCTGCGGGCCTGCGCCACTGCCATTGTGTCGTGAATATGTACTCAAAGTCGCCCGGGGCCGTCCCGTCGAAGAGACGCCGGCACTGATGCTTGATCTCGTCACTACTCACACACAGCCAGAGAGAGAGAGAGAGAGAATTGCGTGTGGTGCGTGTGTGTGTGTGTGTGTGTGTTGGTGCGTGCCTCCATTTGTTGACGGCGTCCAGGAGGTGCGGCATGTGGAAGTGAGGCTCGAAGTGGTCTCTCTGTACAGTGAGGCCGCGCTGCTCCCTGACCTCCTCCTGCCAGATCTCCAGCAGGCTCACCATAGCAGCGTGCCACACCTCACCTGACACATCCATCCATCCATGCACTGCACTCCCCCTCCCTCCCTCCCTCTTCCTCCCTCCCTCCCAGCCTCACTTGGCACATTCTTGCTCTTGACGTGTTGGGGCATGACGTCGTCAAATATCTGCAGCCAGGCCGTGGTCGGGCACTGCCTCTCGTGGGTCGTGGCCAGGTGGATGAGTGCCAGCCACCACGGGACGCACGTGTCGCTGTCGTCGGGCTCCCGCCTTTGGTCCAGCAGCACGTCGAGGTGGGAGAGCCCCGAATCGGTCAGCAGGATGGCCCCCAGGCGGATGGCCGTGGCCGACGATATGCACTGCCGAAGGTGCTCGCAGATGAGCTCCAGCTTCGAAAGCTTGTCAGGGAGCTCGCGCAGCTGGCTGTCATCGATAGTAATCCAGGCAACGGCGTGGCGCCACGAGCACGATCTCCTGCTGTCTGGGAAAACTGATTGGTGGATGAAGGTCCATCCCGACACGCACACACACACACACTCTCTGTGTCGTGTAGTGTCGTGTGGTGCGTGTGGTCGATGCGCTGCCTACTGGTGAATGCCTCGACGTCGAGTACAAGTCTGGCGATGCTTGCCAAGTGGCCGGGTGTGGTGCTGATGGCGTGCTTGATGAGATGCGAGTGGGCGATCTGGTAGTCGAGGAAAACCAGACGGCTGGTCGGCCCCAACACGTACAGCTCGCCTTGGTGCAGGAAGCCGACGTCACACGTGCGGAAGTAGAACAGGCTCTCTGACACACACACATGTCACACACACCCACACACACACTGGTGTCCACAGACAGAGACAGAGGCCGGCCGCGCCCACCGGTCATCGATTCTCCGTCCTTGTCGCGTATGCGTATCTTCTGCATGGTGAAGAAGACGCGCTTGCCGTGGTCGAAGTAGGTCGGGGTCGTCCTGCACCCACACACACACACCCCACAGACACACATGAGCGACACGATCAATGGGGACGTTAAGAGTGTGTCAGGTCGGACTGACTGACCTGGCCCTGACGTAGATCTCGCCGGCGACGTACGGCTGGCACTCCTCCTTGGTGAATGGGTTGACGATGCGGATGTCGACACCCTCCATGGGCGGACCCTGGCTGACGAACCTGCGGGCGACGACATTCTCGCCGCCATTGAGCTCCTCGACCTCACCACAGAACAAACCACAAGACGCCAACTGAAGATCGGACAACAGGCGCAGACACACACATGACAAACCACCACACACCCAACGCACCGCACCCTGTGTGGTTGAGCTGACTGACTGACTGACTGACCACTTTGACTCTGCCGTTCTCGGCCAGTGCCCTGACGTCGATGATGACGGCTTGCGGCCCCGTGTTGATGGACAGCGGGGTCCTCCCCTGCTGCTGCGGCGGCGTCTGGATGGGCCAGCGGGTCAAGGGCGCACCTGTGTCGGAGGACAGGTACAGCGGCACCAGGGATGACGGCAGCGCACAACCCGACGCCTCAACGTTGTGCAGCAGCCTCTGCACATCCAGCCTCTGCACATACATACACACACACACACACACACACAGAGAGAGAGAGAGAGAGAGATGGGCGGAGGCGGGCCGGACGTGTGTGGTTTCCGTCCGTCCATCCATCCATCCATCTCTCTCTCTTACCGCGAGGAACTGTATTGGTCGGTTTCCGTCTGCGCGTGCGTCGGTGAGGAAGCCTCCCTGGTTGATGAAGTTGAGGGGGCCGACCGGCGACACTTGCTCTCTGTCCCTGTCCGCCCCGGCCTTCTCCAGGAGCATGGTCTTGATGACCCTGGTCATGCCCCCCACGGGCATCGACATGACGGAGCACCTGAAGCGTGAGACGATGTCGAGGAAGAAGGTGGGCGATCGCCAGAAGGTGTCGGGCGAGGTGAGGTGGCACTCGAAGCCAAAGAAGAGGCTCGTGAGGATGAAGTACATGAGCCCACTTCCGAAGTGGAGCGGCAGCCAGCTGAACAGCCGCACAGAGTGGCCCGTGGCGTATCGTGACAGCGTCTGGCGCTCCGTGTAGGCCCTGTGCAGCCGGTCGGGCTGGCAGGTGAGGAGGTGCATCGACCGCCTGGCATGGAGCTCGCGCAACATCTTGTATGGCCGCCATGCGCCCATGTCTGTCACCTCGTTGGCGCTGTCTATGTTGAACTTGAGCCGGCCCTGGACCAGCTTGGCCTCCTCGCGATCGTCGACGGCGATGGCCGAGGCGTATGCGCACATGATAACCCGCAGCTGGTCGTGGGTGATCATCGTGAGGCGATGGTTGATGTCGTTGAAGAGGATGAGCGCGTCATCTCTCTCGCCGACGTCCATCTGCTCGCCTGCCGGGCCGTCGAAGAGGGCGGGGATGTCGCTCATGTGCACGATGGCCTCATTGCTCCTGTCGTCCCTGACCATGAGGAAGGCTGAGAGGTTGATCTGCTTGAAGGTACACTTGGGGAGGGAGGAGGTGCAGCAGGTGGGGTGCTCAAGCATGGCGTGGGAGGCCTCGTTGAAGATGAGGGCGTCGGGCTTGATCTGGTCGAAGATCGTCTGGATGGCCTTGAAGTGTGGGTCGCTCGCGTCGTCCAGGTTGCCCACGTCCACAGGGATGGCCACAATGCCGTACCACAAACACGACACCAGAGCTAACACGAAATCCTGCAAGGAAGGTGCACAACACACACACACACACACACACAACCACATGCATGTGTGTGATCCTCCCCTCTCTTTCTCTCTCTCTGGTTGCCAGCTCACCAGCGAGTGTCCGATGAAGATGACGGCTCTGTCGCCCTTTCTGAGGCCGACGCCGTTGACGAGTAGCCACCCAATGCGCCTCGCCTCGGCGAACAGCTGCTCATACGTCAGTTCCGTCATTGTATGCCGGGGCCTCTCCTCGCCGATCGAGTGCAGCGCAAACGCCGTCAGCGGCTTGCCGTCCTTTGTCTTGGCGCGATGGTCTGCAGACACCGCCGCCCAGTATTCGAGCGCCTCGCGGATGAACACCGGCGCTTGGTCGCCCGAGTCGTCAGCATTGGTGGTGTGTGGCAGCCCGTTGGCCGCCGCCTCAGCCATCGTGCTGAGAGGCCCAGCTGCCGCCGCCGTCACTTGAGCTCGCAACAAATGCCGTAAAGATGGGATGATTCAGGAGAGGGGTGGACAATCGCATCATCCACGAGAGATCTTGAGGTGCATGAACAACTCTGGGTATTGATTTCTAGCATCGGCGCACTGACTGTCTGCGTCCTCTCCTGATGGACGCAGAGCCATCCGAGCCCTCCCAGCCACCCCAGGGCCATCCAGCCGAAGGAGAACATGCCCCTGCTAGCAGCCCCGGCGCCCCTGCAGCCGTGGATTCATCCGCACCCCCGCCCGAGAGCCCCGCTGCCTTCCCACCCAGTGTCCAGTATGAGATTCCGGATGGCGAGGGGGTGGTCTCGCCTGTAGACCACGTTGCTGAGGCGGCCAATGCGGAGATCCCACTTGAATCGAGGCTGGTCAGCAAGAAATGGGCTGAGCGGGCCAGTGCCTATGACGAGATCAGGGAGCGGCTGGTCGGGGCTGCCAAGGGAGAGGGAGGGGGAGAGGACTTGTTCCGCGAGTACGGTGAGCTGCTGAGCAAGGCCGTGGTGGACACCATCCCCACGGCGCAGGAGCGGGGCATCGACATGGCCATGGCATTCGTCGAGCACTTCCCCGGCCCGCCCAACGCCATCGAGCGGTACGTACCGCACCTATGCAGGGCCCTCTTCGAGAAGACCCTCACCAGCAAGAATGGCGACAAGGCTCAGCAGCTGCTCGCCGGACTGGTGGAGGTGCTGGAGGCCGAGACGATTGTCCGGCAGATGGCGGAGTTCGTCAAGGCCAAGGGCGGTGCGAGCAAGGGCCCGGCACTCAAGCAGGTGGCGGGAGTGGTAGGGGCGCTGCGTGAGTTGCTGCGTCAGTTCGGGTGTGGCAAGGTGCACCCGCGGCTGTATCTGGGTGAGGTGATGCGTCTGAAGGATGTGGTGGACAAAGGTGCGAGGGAGGAGTTCTACGGGCTGATGGTCGAGGTGTACCGCTGGACAAGGACACTCGACATCATCACCGCCGGCAGGGACATACCACAGCCGCAGCTGGTCAGTCAGCACAGCCAGATAAAATGCCAACAGACAGAGAGGCAGGCCGAACAGATTGATTGCATGTGTAAGAGTGAGTTGGTGTGGGGTGTGCGGATTGTTTGCGTGTGTGTGTGTGTGTGTGTGTGCCAGGCTGAGTTGAAGCGTCGTGTGGAGGCTATCGACGGCACCCCGCCCCCAGTGCCCACCAGATACTACCGCAACGAACCAGGTGTGTGTCATCTCATGCACTCGACCAGCCGAGCCGGATCACACGCCACCCCCATCATGGGATTGCGTGTTGTGTGTGTGCGCAGTGCCCACAGCAGCGCCCACGGAGCCCTCTGCAACCTGCCAATCCAATGCCCCCGCCAACAGCAGCGCAGCAGTACACCCTGGCACACAAACAGGTGGGTGCGTGTAATGCGTAGCGTACGAGTGCTGTCGATATCGCATCCATCTATCCATTTGTCTGTCTCATTGATTGGTGCAGGTGCAGGTGGTGCTGCAGGTGCTGCGGGTGTGGCTGTGGGTGTGGGTGTGGGTATGGGTGTGGATGTGTGGGAGATGCTGGATCCCGTGGACGTCATGGGTCAGCTGCCGCGGGACTGGGAGGGGCAGGTGCTCAAGCAGGCCAAGTGGAGCGACAAGAAGGAGTGGATCGAGAAGCTTATACACGTACGCACCGCAAGGCACTTAACTTACACCCCTGCACAGCACAGCCACACACGCCACGCCAGGCCACCCACGCGCAGCGCACCTTTGCATGTCCTGTCTGTCCTTTATGTAAGCGTATGTGTTGTGTGTGTTTGGGGGCTGGGCTGTGACGTGACTGACAGTTGTGTGAGCGCAGCCCGCGTCTGAAGGCCGGGGTCGATTACGGCGGCGTGGTGCAGGTCCTCATTCGCATACTCAAGCAAGAGTCCAACGTCAACGTGGTACGGACGGAACACACCTGACACACACAACACGGAACAAACGAGCCACAGCTCCCTCCCCCGTCTGTCTGTCTGTCTGTGTGTCTGTCTGTCTGTCTGTCTGTGTCAATCAGATAGCGGCCACCCTGCGTGTGGCGGGTCTGCTCGCCCAGGGCCTGAGGAAGGACTTCTCCCACCACGTCAAGCAGCTGCTGCCCTTCGTCGTCCACAAGCTCAAGGAGAAGAACCGCATCGTCCAGACAGAGGTGCTCCGGACTCTAGACGGCTTCCTGCTCGCGGCGCCGTGGGATGCCTTCAATGACGAGGTGCGAAGGAATGAAGGCACGGTGCGTTGCTGTTGTGCAGTTTGTTCCCCTATGTGTGTGTTGTGTGTGTCAGGTGAAGTTGGCGTGTGCGGACAAGAATCCGTCGGTCCGGCAGCAGGTGCTGCAGTGGGTGGCCAGGGTGGTGGCGGGGCCGCACCAGGCACAGGCCATCAAGAAACACCTGCACTCTATCGGTCGGTGCCACACACACACACACACACAGAGAGAGAGAGAGAGAGAGAGACATGAGACGTATAAGTGTGTCATGCGTGTGTGTGCACAGCATCGATGGCGTCGTCCCTACTTGAGGACTCAGCCAAAGAAGTCCGCGAAAGCGCCGTCGAACTCATGGTGAGATGCACTGCAGCCCGTTCGTGTCCCACTTATCTGCATGGCTCCATCCATCGATCCACCTCCCTCTCTCCCTCTGTGTCTGTGTGTGTGTCCATCTGTCTGTCTGTCTGTCTGTAAGCGTGTGGTGTCCGATGTTGGCGGCACCGACCTGCTTGCTGAGACCCTCCAGACCCTCCCAGAGGCGCGACGCAAAGCCATAGAAACACTACTCACCGCTAAACACGGTCAGTCAGTCAGTCGGCAAGTCAGTCGCATCAATCACGTGCTATGCGTCGGGTGCCTGTGTTGTGTCTCTCCCCCTTGGCTGCATTAGGCTCGAGTGACGCTGTAGAGGGCGGTGGTGATGACGCCGGCGCCGATCGAGGCTTCGGCGTGTCAGTGTCGACTTCGGTCAAGGAGGGAGCCGCCCGCTCGCGCGACGCCAGCCGGATGCGCAAACGCCCAGGCACCCAGCCGGGCACACCCACCGGGGCAGCAGCAGTTGCTGGTGGTGTTGGTGTTGGCGTTGGTGGTGGGTTGATGAGGAAGCCGAGTAATGCAGGGTTGGGTTTAGGTGGCAAGGGCGGGAAGGGGTCTGGCGGCACACATCATCAGGATGAGTGTGATGAGGTTGGGGATGGGCCCCTGTCGCAGGCGGACATCGACGAGGCCGTAGAGGTATACACACACATACACACACACACACAGAGAGAGAGAGAGAGATACGCGCCATACCTGTTCGTTTTGTGCCTGACGTGATGTGTGTGGCATACATACCATGATGTGTGTGTGTAGGGTGTGGTGCCTGAGTCGATTCGGAAGCTGTTGGACGACCCACACTGGAAGCAGCGACAGGAGGGGCTGCAACAGCTCAAGTAGCAAGACCTGACCGACCAACAACACACACCACTCACAGCACAGCACAGACAGCCCCTAAAGCCGGCCATCAGGCCATCCAGAATGAATTGCATGTGTGTGTGTCGTTCGTTCGTCTAGGGAGTGGTGGCTGGGTCATCCTGGCGAGGCCGGGCCCATCACGGAGCACATCGTCAAGTACCTCAAGAAGAAGGCACGAACAATGAGGGAGGGGAGGGAGGAAGGACGATCCCACGGACACACACGCGTCTCTTTGTGGATTCTTCGATCAGTGCAAGGACTTCAAGGAGTCCAATTTCCAGATCAACCGTGAGCTGCTCGAGCTGCTCGCAAACATACCCACACTCGCGCCGTCAAAGGTCACCAAGACACTCGCCAACACCATCATCACGCCATGGGCTGACAAAGTACGGAGCATGACGTAGTACACACAGAGAGAGAGAGAGAGCGAGATGGAGAGGGTGTGCGTGGTGGTATTGTGTGTGTCAGTTGTCTGACGGCAAGTTGGCCGGTCAGCTGAGCTCTTTGTTTTTGGACCTGAGTGAGCACGTGACGCCCACATTCACGGCAGCACGAGTCATCAAGGCCGTCAAGGACAACAGCTCACCAAAGGCACGGCACGCACACGCACACACCACACACACCACACACCACCCAACACCCAGCACCCAACTCGCCAACATACATGAGAGCATACGGATGACTGCGTGGAGTGGATGTGTGTGTGTGTGTGTGTGTGTTGATGTGATGTGGTTAGGTGTCTGAGTGCGTGTGCAAGTTCCTGGAGCAGCTCGTGACAGAGTTCGGGCTCGGTACCGTCGACGTCAAGCTCATCATCCAATACACAAAAGCCACACTAGACCACAAAAACAAGGTAAGGTCACAACACACAACACACAACACCCACCCGCACATAAGGCCTTCCGCGAGTGTACCCCTCCATCTGCGTGTGTGTCAGGGCACTCGTACGGCGGGCCAGTCGTTGGTTGTGTTGCTGCACCGGTACGCTGGCTCGGCGGTGCTGACGCTGCTCGAGGGCGACAAAAACGCAGTCGACCGAATCAACGACAAGACACTCGCTGAGGTGAATGCGCAAATGCCACACGTCTGTCTCCCTGGTGATGATGTGTATCATTCACTTGTCAGCTTCGGGACATGTGCGAGCGGCGGAAGGACGAGAAAGTCCCCGAGCCGTCACGGTGTGTCAGGTTAGTAAACAACCCCTCTCCCCTCTCCCCCCAAGAGACCCACATCGCTGCACGCCCCCGTGTGTTGGCTGTGTCAGAGGCAGTGTGTTCGGCGGCGGGGCGCCATCGGCCATGGCACGTCCCGCACAGGCCAGCGGCGGGTCGGCGGCAGCAGCAGGTGGCGCTAGTGGCAGCGGCATGTCGCTCGACGACCTCATCCCCCGCACCAGCATCGCAAACGATATCAACACCAAACTACTCAAGGCGAGAGCACATGCCATGCATCCCCCCCCACAAGCCACCCAAACTCACTCTCTCTCGCCGATTCACTCATCATCCATTCGTCAGGACCTGAGCGACGCTTCAGCCTGGAAGACCCGTCGTGAGGCCCTGGACACCATCAGGGACATCATCAGGGGAAAGGGCAACGGCCACATCACCCCCACCGGCCTGAGCGACCTCTTCACCGCCCTCAAGGCCCGCCTGGCCGACCAGAACAAGCCCGTGTCCAAGGCTGCGCTGGAGGTGGTGCACCAGCTGGGCGAGGCGTTGGGCGCCGCTGGCGCACGGGTGCACGCCAAGGCCATACTGCTGCCGCTGCTCTCACGTTTCTCGGACAAACAAAACACGGTGGGTGGATGGATGGGATGGGGGGATTGGTGAGGGATGGATGTGCAGAGGTGCACAGCCATGTGTGTTGTCTTGTGCTGTGTGTTTGGGGCGTGTGTGTGGGTCGGTGTGACAGACCCGTGACTTGACGCTGTCTGCGGTGCAAGTGTGGTTCAAGGCGGTGGGGCCGGCCGTGTGGATTCCATCCGCCATCAGTAAAAGATCTCGAACACGCCCATGGTGTGTTCGGTGTATGTTGTGTGTGTGTGTGTGGTGGTGGGATAGGTGCGCTGAGCGACCCTTCGCCAGAGCAGAAGGAGGCCGTGCTGCTGCTCCTCATCGACGACGCCGACTTCACCGCCACCGACACACAACACACACACGTACGGACGGATGTGCAGACGTCCACACAAACACCAGGCGCATGCGACCCGCCCTCTCTCGTGCAGCACCTGGCCCGTGAGCTGCTCGACGCCCTGCAGGACAAGAACCAACGCATCCGCACACTCGCCGAGAAAGTCCTGGACAAGGTAATGCCCGCAGCGCTGCACTTGCCAGACACGCCCCTTCCTTCATTGGTCGATGCATGTGTGTGTGTGCAGGTGGTCCCCCTGGTCGGCGCGTCCACCCTGGACAAGATGGTGTGTGACCTCAAGCCAGCGGCGCAGAACGCTATCAGGCCCACCATAGACCGGCTCACTCTCACCAGCAGTGCCGACACGCACTCACACACGGGTGTGCCACCTGCGGCTGAGGGTGTGGGTGTGGGTGTGTGTGGTGTGGAGGAGCGGTCTGTGGATATGAACATGAGTATGGATGGTGGCGGTGGCGGTGGCGGTGAGGAGCTGAGGGACAACCTCTCGCAGCACTCTGTGCCCCTCGACGGAGGTGCGTCAGGCGAGAGAACTGTGCTGCTCTCATTGACTTTGGGTGTGTGTGGTGTGTGGTGTGTGGCCATCTGTGAACAGTTCGAAAGATGGCCCGGCCGCCCGTGGCTCCCAAAAACGGTACGACAGTGTCTGCCCGCCGCCGTGCTCTCAATCTGCATCCATCCGTGTTGTGTGTGGGTGTGCAGGTGCTGCCCGGCGCGCCGAGTCTCGCGAGCGGGGCCGTCCCGCTAAGCCCGGCACCAGCAAGAACAGGACACCTAGCGCACACACACCGGTCGGTCAGCTGGCACACTCAGGCAGCCAAGGGAGAGGGAGGGAGACAACCACCTACACACCCACCCATACTTCATCGCAGGTGCGTCCTGGCAAGGAGGCCAAGGCTGCTGCCGCTGCTGCTTCTGGTGGTAGTGGGGGTGGGGGCGGTTCGACCAATGGCCTGCCGCCCGACGGTCTCGCAATCATGCCGAAGTGAGTGAAACTGGGAGGGAGAGAAGAGGCCGACACAGATGATGATCGCGCACATTCTTGGTCCTCTCCTTGTTTACAGGGGTGGCAAGGTGCGTCGCCAGGAGCGTGTGTCGCACCAGAAGTGGCCGGTGACGGAGCTGAGGCCGGAGCTGGTCGAGGTATGCACACGAACGGAGAGACGCCTGTTGGTATGGATTGATGTGCACTGCATGTGTGTCTGTGTCTGTGTGATCGGATCGTCCGTCGATCCGCCAGGCGTTGCAGGTCGACTTGCGCCCGCACGTGTCGCAGGCCCTGCTGGCACACATGTTCGACTCCAACTTCCAAAAGGCCCTCAAGTACGGAAACCACACACACACCCCAAACCACACCGCACCAACACACAATCCACCACCCGGAATCTGCTTTGGCTAGGGCGTTGGATTGCTGGCGTGTGTACGTGGGTGTGGCGGGCAACTTCGCCTCGGTGGCCGAGGTCATGGACCTGTTGCTCAAGTGGATCACCGTCAGGTCAACCATGCAGTGCCCACTCACAGACAGACAGGCACCAGTCTGGCACGTGTGTGTGTGTGTGTGTGTTTGCGTTCACGCAGATTGTTTGAGACCAACACGCGCATCACCAGCGCCACCCTGGAGCTGACCAAGCTGCTGTTCCACCGGATGGAGGACAGCGTACACACACACAGACGGGCGGCGGGTCCATTGCGGGCATCTTGGCTCGGTCGTGTTCTGTGTGTGTGTGTGTGTGTGTGTCAGGGTTACGAGATGACGGACGTGGAGGCGTCGACGATCATCCCGCACATCGTCGAGCGGGTCGGACACAACCAGGCACAGTTCAGAGGTCCGTGAGTACACACCCACACACACGGGAGGCATTGCTATGTGTGTGTGTGTTTGTTGAACAGAGAGGTTTCGCGAGCTGCTGCATTGGGTGTTCCGGCTGTACTCGCCCACCAAGGCCCTGCAGCTGCTGCTGCTCGGACTCATCTCGTCAAACACACGGTGCGGAAACGGGTGGTCTCCTGCCTAACCAGCCCTACTCATGTGGCCCTCCCTGGTGTGTTGTCTGTCAGGTCTGTGGCAGACACGGTAGACGAGGTTGCCGTGGCGGTAGAGCAGCACGGACCTGACGTCTTCCCTAACCTACACAGGGACGTCCCAAGACTCACAGGTGGGGTGGGTGGGGAGGCTATCCATCCATTCAGACACACACCTTCCCTCATCGGTTTGTTTGTGTGTGTCCACCAACCACCAGACATAGCGCTGAACAACAAGATAGAGGGCGTCCGCGCGGCGGCCCACCGTGCGCTGCTCAACCTCTTCGACCACGTGGGAGACCACATGTACACGTACGCATCCATCAGCCACCACCCACACTCACAAGCCATTCACCCCCCTGCTTCCGTTTGCAGACTCTGCGGCGCATCCGCCGAGCGCGTCAAGACCGACATCGTCCTCCGCCACAAAGGGGGGGGAGGAGGTGTCAACCGCGCCCACCCCCCTCTGCCCCCCCACTCCCGATCGCTCGACTTCACGCCCTCCTCCCCCATCCCCCCACACGCCAGCGTCAGCACCACCCACCCCGACGCTCACAGCATCCACGGCCACCGGCAGTCGACCACATCCAACTCTAGCGACGGCAGCGGCTTCACCGTGCAGAGCGACTCCAACGACAGAGTGCATCATGTGCACCAGGTGGCCAGGCGGGGGCCGGGGGGCGGCGGCAGGGGTGCGGGAAAGAGAGAGCCATCCCCTTGTGGGCGGCCGCCCATGGCTGGTGGTGGTGGTGGTGTGTCGGGTTCGTTGAGGATTCCCACGCCCAAGGGCCGCGCCATGGCCGGCATGCTCTACACGCCGCAGAAGGGCCAGCGGGGCAGCCGCGACGGTGTCGACAGTCACGCACTCAGACAAATCGAGTCAGTGAGGCCGTGAGAGCAACAATCTGTCCACCGACCGACAACAATCTGATCTGTGTTGTCCGCTGCTCATTCAGAAATGCAGCTGGCTCGCCTGATCCGTGTGCTGCCGCCGTTGCTGGTGTGTGTGGGGTCTCCGGCAGTGGGGCCAAGACGCCCCCAGTGCCCATCCCGCGGCCAAAGGCCAAGACGCCCAGGTCGGCCGGCAAGGGGCGAGAGAGGGAGAGGGAGGCCATGGTCATGGTATCGTCGAGTGAGGCCAGCCAGACGCCCCCACCGCTCAGCGACCTTGTGTCACCCGTCATCACGCCGCAGAGGAAGAGCCCTTCTGCCGCCGGTGAAACAGGCGACCAGCAACCGCAGGTGGTGGAGCTAGAAGCGGATGGGGGTGTGAGTGGGGGAGAGGAGCAGAACACAGAGGAGCAGGTGCCGCCAAACCCTTATGCATGTAAGTAAATGAGGGAGGCGGGAGGGAACAGACAGACAGATCCCCACCCGAGAATGGTCTTGATTTGATGAATGACTGAATGTATGTGTGCCTGCCTTCGTTGCCTTATATATTGTCAGGTCTGCCAGATGAGTTCCGCCTGCCCCTGAGCGACGAGGACTGGCGCGCCATGTGGCTGAGGCGACACGGCCGTGAACAGGAGGCCACCACCAGCCCCCTTCCCACATCCATGTTTAACACCCTCGTCAAGAGCTATATGCCGCCCGTCCCTCGTGCGGATGGCGACGCAACCCCCACCCGGCAGCTGCCCGATCACGTCAGGGGGCTGCTGGCCGTCCTCACCGAGGCGGACCACCACTCGCACGGCGACGTCGCCAAGGTATGTGTGTGTGATGTGCTTTGGCGACAGACTGCATCTTTCAAGAAGGGATCAATGAATCAGTCAGTGTGTGGGTTGGTGTGTTGATGGATGGATGGCTGGGCGCAGAGTGCCGTAGAGTTGCTGGAGTGGATGCAGATGCAGAGTGCCGCCGACGAGCGACACGAGGAGCAGCCCATCTTAGCCATGGTTGGTTGCGCATGCACTGTCTGACCGCCACAGCCGACACCCAATGAACTGCCACACTGTGTGTGTGTGTGGTGTGGGAATGCACACAGGAGAGACACGCCCCGTTGTTCGGTTGTGCGTTGGCGCGTGCCCTGCGCGTGTCGTTTGACCGTGCCTGCGACTGGTGGTCTCTCACACAGGGCACCACAGACCTCACCACAACCAACACCGTCCTAGAGGTGGGTATCACGACCCTCATAACCATCCCTCCACACACACACACACACACACACAGAGAGAGAGAGAGAGAGAGAGAGAGACGGGCATCGACCACTTGATGAGTGTTCTCCTTTTTGGGTCATGCAGTGTTTGATGCGCCTGGGTCGGGAGAAGCGTGTGGTTGGATGTTTGCCCAAGGAGGAGACCAAGGCACTCATGCGGGTGCTGCTCACCATGCTGCAGCAGGGGGGCGCCATGGACAGCCTCATGAGCGCCGACCCGCCCCTGAGTCTGCAGCACCTCAACACACTCGCCGGCCAGAGCATCCTGGGGCACTCCAACAAGTAACCAAACTGGCCACCCACCCACACACGCATCACACATGTTTTTCGGGTGTGTGAGTGGTGTGTGTGTGTGTCTCAGGTCGATGATGCTGCGGATACTGTTGGAGTTTGCCCTGTACGAGGGCGATAGCATCAGCATGGACCTCCTCCTCAAGTCGCTCAAGAAGCTGCTCGACTGGCTCGCCAGATATGGCAAGGGCGTCTCAGGCAGGCACTCGACCGGCTCGGTGGTGGCGAGTGAGGACAGGAGCCCCAGTGGTGCTGGCGACCCGGGCAGCCCGGCGTCATCCGCCACCGCACCCACACCCAACACCGAACGCATCGTACTCGAGCCACTCACAGTGAGCAACCACAGGCTCGCCTCGTCTCGCCTGCCCACGTCTGTCTGTGTGTGTGTCCATACCTTCCTCCCTCGTGTGTGCAGATGGTGTGGCAACTGGTTCGCGAGACCAACTACCTCCAGCAGCAGCAGCAGCCCTCTGCCGCCCTGGGCGTGCAAGTGCTGCACCACATTTTCTGCGCCCTGGCGTCGCTCAAGCCCGACGTGACGCGCGCCTTCATGGGCGACAGCGGGCTGTGCGTCGACGGCATCGAGCTGGTCAGGGGGGAACGGGCCAAGATGGCCGGCATTCTCGGGCGGGAGCTGGCCACCCAGATTATGGGCGAGGGGGATGTAGAGATGCTGCCGGAGGGAACGTCAGAGGGGGCCGGTGTCATAGCATGGATGGAGAGGCCTGGTGCGTGGGGTGGGGGAAAGGGCTGGATGGGCTTGGCGCCTTCGAGTCATCTCTTTGTCTCTCTCTCTGTCTCTGTGTGTGTGTGTGTGTGTCTGTGTCGTGTTGGTTGTCGACCAGATTGGGATGGTTTGGTCAAGCTGGCAGCGACGCAGAAGCCGCGCAACACAGTCCGTGGCCAGAAGCGTGCCCTTCCTTTGAGGCTCCATCTCTGCGTATGTGTCTGTCTGTCTGTCTGTTTCCTTCCCTCCACCCTCCCATCCATGATCATACAAACAGGTGCATGAGCTGCAGGAGACCCTCACGGCACTGATCGCCCGCCACGGCATCGACATGGCCGACGAAGCCAAGGTGGGTGGGTGGGTGGGTGCAGGACGCGAGTGTGTGTCTGTGTCTGTGTCTGTGTATGTCAGTCGAGTAGCAGCGCCCCACAGATCTTCAAGGACGGCATACCGAGCACACACCAACAGCTACACAGGTGCGCCAAAGACGCACCGCACAGCAGCCAGGCCAACTAGTAAGCGGCCTCTTGACCTCTCCCCTGGTGGCTGTTGTGTCTGCCTGTCTGTCTGTCAGTGTGGCGGATGAGTACACGTCGGCCTTCCGCCATGTGATGGACGAGGCCGCCAAAGACCGCCCCCAGCCCATGACGGTGCCCGAGCTCCTCCGCTGCCACGTGTCGTCCACACAGCCCTCCCCCGCTGCCGTGCCGTCCATGACACAACTTCAGCACCACCACCAGCAGCACAAACACCAGCACCACCACAGCAGCAGTGGGCCGGCAGCAGACACAAACAAGGCGCCTCAAGACAGTCATCATGGGGGTGGGTCGCGTGGGCATGGGCATGTGGCGGGCGGTGCGCCGATATCGGCCAAGCTGGAGACGCTGCGGGCCAAGCTGGATGCACTCAAGCAGGGCAGAGGGGGACGGAAATAGTGGATACTCACTTAGGTAGATAGAGGGATGGATGGATGGATTCACTTGGGTGTGATACGATTCGTGTTCGTGTGCTTGGCTTGTATGGTGTGAGTGTGCGTCTGTGTACGGCCCGGCACGCGTATGTGTGTATGTATGTGTAGATATCTAATCTAGAGCATGCACGTGTGTGTGTGTGTGAGTGAGTGAGTGAGTGAACCGCAGTGAATGAATTGCGCTCTCAATCGGTATGTCTTCTGAGTGTCTGTATATCGTGCCCACAACAACAGCCAGCCATTCAGCAAGACGAACACACACACACATCCCGTGTTTCTCTGTCCCCGACCCACCCACACACCGCCGATCTGGTCGGCCACTGCACATGAATGAATGAGTGGCGACAATCGGACAGAGGGGAGGACAGCAGCCAGACAGACAGACAGACAGACAGAAAGGTACGGGCGAGCCAGACGAAGGTACACTCTGGTGTGAGCAGACAGGCGGACATTAGCAAGAGGCATAGCTATCGATCGCATCCATCAGCCAGCACCACACCACACACCACACACCACGAGAGGAAGTCCCCGCCCCCTATATCTACCGTCGGCGCCTTCATGCAGCGACTGTACCAGAGAGAAGGTGTCGGGCTGATGGCTCCAATGTCAACACCGCCGTCCAGCCTGACACGCACACGCACACGGATAGAATGACACCATGGTGTACACCACACCGTGTGTGTGTGCTTCATCTGCTCGTGTCAGTCGTCTTTGATACAAACATACCTCAGCTGTCTATCGGTCGAAGACCGTGGCTGAGATGACAGCCCCCAGCACCGCACGGGCCAGCCGAGTCGTCTCTGGGAAGCGGTCCTTGAAGGCACCAAACTTATGCACACCAGACGCAACCGACTCGAAAGTATTGACCTCCACCACCACTGCAACCAAATGACAGGAGAGGACAGCAGATGAGAGGCATTGCACCATTCACTAGCTGGGCTTGGGCTGACCAATGTTGTTCGGGGCGGGGAGGCTCCCCGAGATGCTAATCCACGCAACGAATGAGTGGCGGGCGTCTGTCAGGACGAGACGACGACAACCTACGCAGTGAATGGGGCGGTATGATGTCGTGGTGATGCATCCCTCCACTGGTGTGTGGGGCGACTGTCTCAGCAGGGTGTCCAACCGACCGTTGTCAGCATGCCTGACCAGTAAGTAAAGACAGACACACAAACAATCACTCCCGTGTCGCGACAATGCCCATACAGACTGATGCCCCACCTCGCCTGTCGACGTCACGTCTATGGGTTCTCCTGAAACGCTGGACGTGGTGAGTCCTGTCGAAGTGGTCGAGGATGATGTGTTTGACGAACGACGACACGGATGGGTCGTCGACAGGAGCAAACAGCTGCGGCTGCCATCCCCGGCCCGAATGCGTGATCCATCTGCGGACGGGCGGGTCATGTGGCTGTCGGTGCTGCTGGTAGGTCTGGCGGGTCGGGTTGATGGTCAGCTCGTAGCCGGCCTCGTCTTTGATGGCCCGCAGTGTGGTGCACGGGAACAGCTGGAGGGTCACGCCGTCGCCGGAGTCGATGTGGGGGCCGACCATCCTGAGCTGAGCCAACACACGGGGAGCGGACAAATACGCCTGCACACACGACACACCATACGCCCATTGAGAGCCATCCTTTCTCTCCCTCCCTCCCTCGCTCCCTCGGTTGGCTTACCGTCTGGTTTGGGTATTGATGCAGATCGTCAGCGGTGAGCCTCACCGGCAGCTGGCAGTTGCCGCACTGGTTCGCCAGCTCAATCACCTCGCCCATCGGACTCCAGCCGCCCGCCTCCGTCACGCACAGCGCCGCCAGCAGGTCACCCACGCCCATCTGCTGCTGATCGAATGTCAGCAGCTGCACTACACGCCCATTCACCGTCCGCCACAGCCCGGCCTGTGTGCTGACTTCACGGCCCAGCCGCTGCCGCAGCTGAGGCGCTCCGAAGAGGCCCCTGGCCCAGCTGCATGTCTTCCTCAGACGCAGCACATCCCGCAGCAGAAAATCGCTGCCGCGGTGGGCGCAGACGTACCACACCGGATGCTGCTGCTGCTGCTGGGTGTGCTGGCTGGGGGCCGTCAGATCTGCCGACAGGGAGCTGCCGCCCCCCTGGTGCTGTTGCTGTGACTCTGCCGCACCCATCGAACCACCTGCAGGCACCACACAGCACAGGACGGTATGACGAGATGCAATCAACCGACAGCAGCCGGTGGTTTGCGTACCTCCACTGTGTCCACCACGAGCAGCAGCAGCAGCAGCAGGGTCGATGTCTACGCGTCTACGCTTCTTGGCGCTGCCGTCATCAGCAGGCACCTGAACAGCGAAATACATCAATGACTTTGTGTGTCTGTGTGGGTGTGGACCTGTGCGTACCCCGTTGCTATGCTGTCTGTTGCTGTCGGTCTCATTCGGTCCCGCAGCACCGCCCGCCCCCCACTGAGCCGCCCCGCCGTCGACATCCATTCGCTGACATAAACACACACAGACACAGACACACAGAGGAATGACCGACTTGTGTGTGCCATCCAGTGGTCGGTGGAGCCTTACGCGTCTGTTGTGGTTAGTAGACGTCTGTGTCAGCTCACTGCTGAGGGCCGAGTGGGCGTCGGCGAGGTTCGTCAGAAGACCCAGCAGCCGGCGGCCAGCCGCCGACGCAGAAACCTGTCAACGGCAACAAACACGTGAGAGAGAGATGCGAAAGACATCTTTGTTTGACATTCCTTTTGCAGGCGGACCTGTGTGTAGTTGTGTTGACTGCGTTGGATCAGCTCCCTCGCCCGCCGAGCCGGCGCGGCCATCTCACATGCGATCTGAAGGCAAACAAACCGGCAGGCAGCACAAAGAATGATTGATTGGTGTGTCTAGCGCCTCCCTCCCTCCCTCCCTCACCGATTGGATGTGTTCTATGACGTCTCGCAAGCTATCGTCCGACAAGTCGCCCCGCCCACCTGCACCACACACGCCATCACCACACATATACAAGACATCTGTGGGTTCATTGTGTGCGTCATCATCGCCCACCTCTCGAGGGAGCCGGAGCGCCGTGGCTACTGTCCATCTGACCAACGCGAGCCGTCCGGGCGCTATCCGCCGCACCCAAAACCCCCAAGTCAGACCGTCACCATCAGACCTGACAGCACACACGCCACACAGCCACGCAGGGAGGGAAGAGAATGTGTTGACCTGCCTCAGTGCCCTCGCTGATGAATGGCGCGTCGGCTCAGTGAGTGAATGAATGAATGGAGAGGTCTCACCGATGACGACGTCAGGAGGAAGTGTGGCGGAAAGCGCATTGCTATGGCTGCTGTTGTTTACTTACGCGTTGTCTCGATTGCGACTTCCTGCGTGCAGAGCCTTCTGGACAGACATACGGTTGAAACCAACCTGAAGGGCAAGTAAGCACTTGAATCGTCTGGAGAATCAGTGGCGTCGTGTGATTCTCTCTGTCGGTCTGTCTGTCCTTCGTGTGTTTGCTTCACTACAACCAGCAGCAGCGGTTTCAGGGAGCACAGCCCCTGAAACCGCTGGCGAGCACAGATTTGAGGGAAAACGTCGCTTTTCGTCACTGCAGTAAGAGGTCGCGTGCCTTCCTGCACGCACTCAAGAACCTCCCGCAGCAGTGACGATGGTGCGGCTGCTCTGCCCTGGCGGCCCCTGTGGATGAATGGCCTCCACAGTGCCGAGCTGGCTGAGATTGAGGCGAAGGTACGAGCTGCTGCTTGGCGACATCAAGAATGAGCTTTTCAACGTCAGGGGAGCACAGAGGTTTCATTGTTCCTATGCAGTCGCAGTCAGTCCACTGTGCTGTACAAAGAGCTCCCACACAGACAGCTAAGCTTGGCCGGCCACTGAGGGGACACTCTAATTAATTAAACACACCACACCATCGGGCACACACAGCCACCGACCAGACCAAGCCACTTTCACACCAAGCCAAAGGCAACCAACGACAGCACCAAACAAACAAACAGACAGACAGACAGGCAGCCAGCCGAAATACCAAAAAGATATGCACCACACGCACTCATGGACGCATTTCCCGCAACACAAACGCCCCCTCCCCACACACATGTGCGCCAGTCTGTCGAGAAAAAGTCAGCAAGCACGTGGCTCATCAGCCGCCCTCTCGGCCATTGGGTGACCTCTGGTGAGAGCAGCATCACGCAGCGACGCGCTCACGCCTCATTGCTCGCAGACAGGATGCACACGGGAGGAAGAGAGAGGGGTCGGCGGTTGGGCCGTCATCCATCTATCTGTCTAGCCCTTGCTGACTCTGATCCTTTCGGCGATCTTGGCGAAGACGGCCTCCTGCTGGTCTGGGTTGTCGTGCAGGAAGCCGTGGCCCTTGGTCTTCTTGGAATGAACCTGCCGCAGACCACACCACACATGGAGTATCCATAGCCACACTGCACGTGGCTCTTACGAGTTGGCCGTCGACTGTGATCTCGAAGTTGCCCGTTGCCCCCAGGTCCTGCATGACGCACACACACAGGACAAGAGGCTTGACATGATCACATGTGTATTGCGTGTCGTCCTCCTGACTGACCATGTTTCCCTCTATGGCCAAATCCGCATCTGGAAACCTGCCCAAGAGAAGGGCTTTCGCCGCCTGCGGAAACAAGCACACACACACACACAGGAAAGCAGCAGCAACACGTCGCCCATGCCCTGTGCTGCCTCAGCCTGCGACTCAGCTGACTTCAAACTTGGGCTTGTATCCTCAGGCCCCTGCAGGCAGCCACACACAGAGGTCACAGCTGTGCAGCCACGTGTGACAGCCTTGTCATTCATTCTTCCGTCGCTTACCGCAGAACTGAATGGCGACTTGCACCGGCATCCTGCGAAGGGCCGAGGCGAAGAGAATGGCGAGGCCAAGGAGACGAATCGTGTGACACTGACGCTGGGAACTCGAGAGGCTCCCCTCCTGCTTTCTCTCCTGCTCTGGTGCGAGCTTACACAGAGAGGGAGGGAGGGGGGGGGGGGGG